GAGATTACTTATGAATGCTGCACCATCAGCCTTATATCTTTGGTATAATTGATCTTTACTAAAGGAATTCAAAGTATGGATTTATGTTAGTAATTTGGGTGCTAGGATTAGATGGTCTTTCATCAAATTGTTTAGGTTTTCGGGAAGTGAGTGCTCTCACAAGGAAAAAAAATTTATGTGTGCTAGACAAGAAGTTTAACTCCGGTAACACCAGTCTTAAGTGTAAGAGTTTTTCCTTTTGCTGTTAGAAACAACATATTTCATAGGATCTTATCCTGTCCCTTGACGGTGTGTTAAACAAACAAACAAAAACCCAAAACAAACAAAAAAAAAACCAAAAAACCAAAACCAACAAAACACCCTTACACTGAGTTACAACCCTCTTTCAGTTTTTATGACTCTGTATAGTAATGAGAAATTTTCCATAACACCCCTTGTCAGACAAATCAAGGGTGAGTCATTAGCTCCAACTTAACGTATAAGGGTATCTGAGGTGACAACACATGAGAAAGGGACAAGAGAACTGTAAGAATCCCTGAAAGCAGCAAAACCAAGTGGAAATAAAAACTTTTGTCCTAGAGTATATGCTTGGTGGTTTATAATTCCAAAGAGCACAGCCCTGGGTACAGGGTAAATCTAAAAGTATGGCTTTTATGCTGCATAGTATTTACATTAAAAAGTTAGCTAAATTTTATCAAAACCTTGCAATAGTTCTGCTTTAATCCTAGCTTTTTTTTTGCCCTGTTTTTAATCCTGGTAATTAGAGCTTGCATATTTCCAAGTAACTCAATTCCAGGTTATTAAATCTGATGCCAAACTTGCACTGTTCATAAAATTCTCTGTAATATTAGTTCTTCTTAGCGGTTTTAATATAAATAAAATTCTTGCCAGATATTTTTGGAAGAGAGAAAATACCAATACTTGTCACATCTGTGTCCTTCACAGTGTTTTTTACAGACATTCATTTGCAGATAGTAGCTGGATCAGCTACTTTATACCTTATTCAGCTTATGGAAATGCAGGGATTACCACAGAGGTTCTTGCCTAGTAAAAAGCTGGGTCTTCTCAGAAGTGAACAATTGTATATCTTTTAAAACTGAGTCCATTCCTGCCTGTTGTATGTTCTTTATTTGTTCTTTGTAGGACTGGACTGATAATTAAATGATGCCTAACAAAATCAGAGAAAACAAATTACTCTAGTATCAGAAGTCTGGTTGTATTAAATCGTTATATAAACAAATTAATAGTGATGCAGACTCTTATCATTATTTTGAATATGTCATTTGCTGATATATGCGTAATGTATTTCTTTTTTACATGCCAGAGATTGCTTATAAAGAGTAAGTAGATGATCATAATCAAAACAATGATAAATCTCCCACTAATATCTGCTACTTTCATTCAAAGGCACCCTGAAGCACTTTGCAGACTGTTATATATAGGAAAAGAAATTAGGAATAGAAAATTACACTGAGATTTCATCAATATCTCCTGGTAATAATTACAGGATTTGATCAGATTCATTCATCTCCCATTTGGCTATTAATAGGAATATGACACACTCTGAATTCAATCTTTATTCTCTTGAGGGGATTTTCTTTGGTGAGGAAAAACTTCAGAGACTTTCTCCACCCTCTTAATGTGCAAAGTCTTTAAATACCGGCAGAAACATTATCACTTGCAGGAATGGAGTGTTCCAGCTGTGATTATTTCTTAAGTGTGTAGTACAAAGTCAAGCATATTAACCAGTCTTTGGTTTAAAACTTTTTTGACTTTGTGAGCACTGATTAGTATGTCCAGAGGAACTATAAGGACCTTAGAAAAACATTACGGAGCCATTCAGTCTCCAAATCTATTTGTCTTATTGGTGAATGTGTGGGCCAAATATAATCATTGTCCCACTTTTGTTAAGAGGGAAAGAAGGTTCTGCTGGAGAAAAGAAAACCCATTTCTCTCAACTCTTAGTCCAGTATCCCAGCCCCCAGTAGTTTCAGTGCAGGGTAGAATGCATTCACTACAGTGATGAGACAAGTAAGGGATTACCAGAAAATAAGGCTGTTTCTGAAAAGAACTCTGACATTTAGTTTTATTGTCATGGCAACAGTTTTAAAGTGACCATATCACTAAGTGCATAAATAAAATATTAAAATCAGTAGAAACGTGTTCAGTAAAGAGGCAGAAAATTGTTGGTGCTCCTTTTTATTTTTCCTTCAAAGAAGGTTAAAGCTATTGGTGACAGGAAAAGTGCTGCCCTTTAACATCCTTATTTGGAGCTGAAATATTAACTCTTTTTGTGAGAAAGGAAAGAAGGAACAGAATTTCCAATAGTTTTCTTTTTACCATTCTTTGAAGAATTCCTTATTTTAAATAGATTTGACCAACTTTAAAGCATTTTTTGAAAGAGTGAAAATCAGCAGAGAAAGCCAGTCTCAGAGGAGAACCTCAGAAAGAGTAAAGTGGTGACCTACATTTATCCTCTATTAGAAGGGAGTGGGTCCCATGGATATAGTCTCTAGCAGTGATGAAGATTAGGTCTATATACTTGGCTTTGTTATTCACTTTTTTCTTTCCTAAACGGAAAGTCCTTTAATCTTTCTTTTCTTACATTGCTTGTCTCCAAATTGATGAAAAGGATACCTTTGTAAAGGGCATGGCAATCTGTGGATGAAAAGCACTGTGCTACAAGCTAGCAGAGTCTGCAGGAGCTGCCTATGAGGCTGCTCCTCTCCATTTTCCTTCCATTCTAGCAATCTCCTGTAGCAACCTCACCATAATAGCACCTGGTGTAGCTGTGTCCAACCAAAGAGGGTTAATGACCTCAGCAATACAAAGGGTCGTATGAAACGAAGGAAAAGGCAGGTTCTCTGAAGGGGAAGAACATACAGATGAAGGAAAACAGTCATCTGCTATTCAAAAAACTCTAGTAATTAAATGTCCAATTACTCTCTTCATCGCAGGGAACAAACACGAGTTCCAATGAACCGTTGTTTGAAAATATGATGGTTATTTTCCTAACTACTTTATTCGTGCTTCTTTTGAAAAGAATGTTGTGCCTTCCATCCCTTCAGATGGACCCAGTAAGGGTGATGACTGGAGACACTACAGAAAAACACTATTGTGCCACTGGAAGACTCTGAGC